TATCTGACCTCCGTCCTCCCCTTCAGTCTTCTATCTGACCTCCGTCCTTCCCTTCAGTCTTCTATCTGACCTCCGTCCTCCCCTTCAGTCTTCTATCTGACCTCCGTCCTCCCCTTCAGTCTTCTATCTGACCTCCGTCCTCCCCGCACTGCGAGGGTAAAGACATTTGTTACCCGGAGTTCTCCTTTAAGGCTGTTTGGTGATGTCATTGCACAGAGGAAACGTGTTACATAACAGGAAGTGGAATGCGAGGAAAGTTGTAACAATGTAACGCTGACCCACCAGAGCTGCAGCTTTATCCGGCGCCCGTCCAGCAGAATCGTCGTCGTTTTGTAGTCGATTCCTGAAACAGAGAAAAGGAAATTTGTGATTTCGGCGAATTTATAGGAAACATTTTATATAAAAACGGCAACAAACAGAAATCCGGCCGGGGTCACCGCGCTGACACTACAACCCCGGGAGCCGCCGCTGAGACACAGACATCTGCCGAGATAAAACCGAGCAAATCGCAACTAAATGTCTATTTTATCTCAGCGACCGCAATGTGTCCGGCGTCATCCGCAGCGCGGCGCCCTCACCCCAAATCTCCGCATCCTTTTCAGGTACATGGCCAACAACGGGAAAATCCCTCCTTGTAACACTGCACATAGCGGGATCTCCCCATTTCTGACACGCATGTCGCATTCCGCAGGAACATGCGTTTCAATTCAATTCATATTTGACGCACCATCATACCGGATGTAACCAGCGCACTGCCCATTGTATATAGCGCCCAATATGAACATGGCCTTCTTTTACTTTACTCTCCTTGTCCCCACTCCTCTCCTGCACATACTCTCCTCCCTCCCCTCCCTTCCTGCATATACTCTCCTTCCTCCCCTCCTGCACATACTCTCCTCCCCTCGCCTCCCTTCCTGCATATACTCTCCTTCCCCTCCCTTCCTGCATATACTCTCCTTCCCCTCCCCCTCCCTTCCTGCACATACTCTCCTCCCCTCGCCTCCCCTCCTGCACATACTCTCCCTCCCCCTCCCCTCCTGCACATGCTCTCCATGTAACCAGGCCAATCTTCCTCACAAGGCAATAGACAGAAATAAAAACTCCTCCCGACTCCATCCAGAACTGGGGAGAAGTAACGTTTTGGCTTTGGACGCAGCACAAGGCCGCGCTGTGTATAGAAGGAGCCCCCTTCCTGCACCCCGATATAGAATATTGGTCCCATCCCCCTCTTCTGATCTCCATTGTGGTTGATCCCCCCCCGATGTTGTGCACCCCAA